TGTTTGTGAAGAAGGAAGATTGCATTTACTGCTTCGTAATATAAGTCAAAGGAAAGAATCCTGGGATAACAGCGAATAAAACAGCATGCGCAGAAAGTGTCTCCTGAGTTTATATCCCAACGTATCTGAACTTTCGCTTTCGTGGTTTTCCCCATCCATGGATCTGAATATAAACCAGTTTCGTTAGGAGAGTCCTCCGTAAAGGCTTCTGTCTATACAAGGAGGTGTTTTTTTCCCCTTATTTATTTTTTATTTATTTATTTTTTTATCTATTAAATCCAATTCACTTGAATTAGATGTTATAACATTACAGTGTCAAACTGTGCACGAAAGAGTGGGGAGGGAAAAGCATTTTATTTAACTGATTATGGCAAAGCACATAGTGGCTCCTCGCCCAAGGCCCTAAGGTAAAAGACGCATGTCTTTGCAGAGAAACTGCCGTATTAACTTTATTCATGCGGAAACACCTATGCAACCGGATCATATGCTGAGATTTAGAACATGGGTGGAATCACCAGCATTCAACGGTCTTAGCTACTCGACCATTAGTGGGTCAAAGAAATAGGTCATAATATAAAACTTATTGTCTATATGATTTAGATATTTTTGAGAAAATGTTTATTACTGTGTATGTTTATTTTACATTTTTTTCCTGTGTAAAGAAATCTACGCATTCATTTCTAATTATGCATTCATTTAAGCTAATGATGGGATTAATGATGTTTTTGCTTAGCTTATCTGATTACGGCAAAGCACGCAAGGACTATCTGCCTGAAGGAAGAAATGCTCTAGTGGAGGATTTTCTAAGGGAAACTTGCTCGTATCTATGTTAAACAAGGAAAAACCATGAAATCGCCTACACGAGACAGCCTGTATACCTGGAATCGAACCCAAGTAGAACTAGTAGTGTTTAGTGATATTACCGCTTGGTCGCTGGTGGGCCCTCGTATCTAAATATATAAAGATGAGTGTCTGTTTGTTTGTAATTTATACAAATGTACAGTTTTTATTTTGATCTTGACGAAATTTTGCGCATTTGATCTTCCGCACGATAGGAAGGTCACTGTCTACATACAATTTCTCAAAAACCACTCGATAAGCTTCAAATTTTTTATAAAAAGAGATTTTGCGCGAATTTTATGAACTTTAGGTAAAACAATTCAGCGATTTAAAAGCTTAGTGTTGCTAGTCTGCAAAGGATAAGATATTTATGTTTTAAACTAAATCAAAAAGCTCAGCGATAGAAAAGAAGTCTGTTGCCATTCGACAAAAAGCAATTATATTTATTTTTCGTGTTTAATAAATAAACTTAGCCATTTAAAAGAAATAAGTTTCCACTGCCTGAATTAAAGTATTTTTATCATGCACGCGGCAGTGCGTTGTTGTCCAGAAAAATATAAGATATTTTAAATTATATTTCAAATTTATTCTGATATCAATTAACAAACTAATTTATTTAAAATTAATAAGCTCGGAATAATTAAAGTTGTTATTAATTATAAAATGGTCCGGTGAAATTACACTAGCTGGATTCATTAAAATCATCTCTCTCTCTATATATATATAAGCGTGTAAGTTTGTTTGTGTGTGTGTAGTTTATAAAAATATGCAGTTTTATTCTGATCTTGATGAAATTTTGCGCACTTGACTTTCAAAAGTCACTTTCTACTTAGCATTTCGAAAAACCACTTTACGGGGTCTACACTTTGTGTAAGAATGTTGCGCTTACGACACCTATCTTGCGTACACATCACTCATGTTAGGTTCACTTCACAGTTGTTGCGTTCCCGCTATTAATGGATGTCAAAGAATTTATCTGAGCAAGAAATTTGCCATTTTGTATAAAAAATATATATTAATATTTCTACAGTTTTAATTTTGAAATCCCATTACACATCTTAGGTTCATGTCGCCGTTGTTGCATTCCATCTGTCAGTTCTCACTGAAACTATTACGTAGCGCCTTTCGCTTACTCTTTAGAACAGCGTAGAACTTAGTAAAATCTAAGAGGGTTTTCTGTTAATTTTTCATTAATATTTAAAAAACGTCAAAAAAATCGTACACAGTTTATGGTTATTTTCCGAAACCTTTTTTCCGAAAAAAGACATAACTAATAGCAAAGCAGCACTCAGCTTTTCTAATAATTGATCGAAGGATAGATATTAATTCATAACTAAGTATCAATCCGTGTTATCCAGGAAACGGTTTCCTTCAAGTCTGTCACGTTTTCATCCATTGATGTAGTAGAGGGATTTAGAGTAAGCTTTGTATTATCTGACAGTATTTTTAATGCTCTCGAACCTTTATAAATACCGCCATAGAAGCTTACTTTAAATTAAAGGATCCTCTAATCATATCATTACGTTACATCGATCCGCCAATCCTGTGGAATGGAACAAGGCTCACCCTAAAGAATGTGTTGCCGACGGTAATAGAAGTAATAATGCCATCATCACGAGCAACGTCACAATTGAAGACATATTCATTCTTCGTATTCTTTTCACACCCAATGACTCAAATATGTCCTTCGATTTCAAGCGACTGCCGTTTCTTATCCACCTTGTATTCGCTGTGGGTATCAACAAGATGCACAGGGATAATGACTTTGTGGAGTAGAAATTAACTTGAAAACACCACGTGCTTTTATATAGTCGATTACACGTGTGTTATTCAATATCCGGCACACCATATAAATTTTATGCTCCGAAAAAAAAACAGACGAAAAAATTTTAAACTTTCAAGTTTTTAGATGAAAGGTACGATAAAAATAATGTTTGTTTTCTATCTAAATAAAATTTACAGTTTTATTCGAAGCTGTTAAAATTTTGGACATCTCACCTTGAACTAACACAAGAGGAAAATCACTGTCTACCTGAGATTTCGAAAAAAATTCCTCCTACATTAAGCCTCTTCACACTGGGTAAAACCAAAGCAACTATCGGGTATTTCAGCTAGTTAATGATAAAACTGTAGCTTTTAACATTAATATAAGATAACAAATATTACTTTTTCCTTCATAATCAAGTCGAGTTGAAGTTGTCATATATTTGTCTGTTTCATAAGACATCTACACCTTTAAGAAAATGTTACAAACGATTCCTTCCAGTCCCCTGCGAACAGAAATATTTATAGAGATTTCTACTTGTATGCAAGCAACAAAATAGAGACACTCCTTTAACATCAGCAACGACATTTACGGTTAATCTAAAATCACAGTTAATCTGACAGCAGTTAAAAAGTTACAGGGAAGAAAAATAACCCCTATTATAATTAACAGGAAATAGTCTCAACGGTTTAGCTATATTTTTATGTAGTTTGATTTAAAGAGTAAATTTATTTCCTTACGTATATTAAATTAGCATTCAAAACAAAAGCACACTTCAAAAGACAAAGAAAAATTTTTTTTCTTTATATTATTCTCGTATTTCGATAGCAGTCTTAAAGATAATTTAACAATGTTTTTATACCAGGATTTGTTCAAGAAAATTTTGCATTCTTATGCATAAAAATAATTTTTAAATATCGTGACATCAACTGCTGTTATTGTTATTATCCAATTCCACCAACAGCCCAATTGTTAAGCTCCTGAATATTGATAGCTCGATCGAGTTTGAACCTAGGCAAACTGGCTGATTACAGCATAGTTGGGTTTAGTATTTTTCCAGATCAGTAACGGGAATACTCACGAGCCAATTTCTCTTAGAAAGTTCTCCATCAAAACAGCTCTTCCCTTACACAGATAGGCCTCGCGCGCTTTGCCACATTCGAATAATCTGCCAATCACTGCTTCTATCTAAATAATTTTATATTTCTTTTCGTATTTCCCGTAAAACTTCTGCTTTATTCTGATATGTCATATTAATTTCCTCATATTTCCGCAATAAGCAAACTTAAACGTTTTTAGAGAATAACCAGTTAATCCCCAACTTGGTTAATCGGGAGTCTACTGTATAGCATTTAATAGTTACTACGTCAAAGGACATCAAATACACTTTCATCCGCAAACATATCAATTTTGTGAAACGCACAGTTAGAGATAATTCCTAACTTGACCATGTTCTCTTGACAAAAGCTAGAACTGTCCAGCCAAAGCTCTAAAGTAGTGATAAATTGCTTTTGCTTATGCTGCTTTGGCTCCATCAGCTGGCCAGTGTAAAGAGCCCACTTTCGGCCTTTGGCTTTTAACATAAGCACATCTGCGCGCTATTCTTGGAGTTTTCTAAACGCAATTTACTTAAAACCTCTTCAGCTCGAAATTTCGACTATAGGAAGCTCTTTTCTGATGCCTTTAATTTAAAGTTATTGAAATTCGATTAATATTCGAACAAATGTTATAAATATTGCAAATTAGATTACCAAATTTTGAATTACACACTTTAAATTATTACATATTAGAAATATCACAATAATCGTTTCAGTATTAAACAATAAATGTTAAATATTTAAAATGGTAGTGCATGCAGATGCTTCGATATTCAGTTAAATGTTATACAAAATGCTACATAATTCGATAAACATTATAAATATAATTTATTAATGAGTTTTTATAATTTTTAATGATTATAAAAATTACAAATTTAATGAAAAAAATTCGTTAAACTATCATTATATATATATATATTTTTTTTTTATTTTCTATTAAATATTTTCTGCGTTTTGTTTACAGCAGTTCTTGCAGTGATTTATAGCAATTATTAAGCATCAGGAAAGATAATGTTTCAGAAGACAGTTTCTTTGACAACAGTTAAGTTACGAAATACGTTCTGACAAACTAAAATGTGAAAAGTCGCTTCGTGTATCATTATATCTTGTTGGAAATGCAATAGCGGCTATTGTCCACTCGGTATTAATCGGAAATGGCAAGCGAATATCCCCGAAAGGTTAGCTGTCGCTAAAGGTGGGTCGGAGGATATGTTGCAACAGGGATTGAAAAGAAAATTTCCTTCTCGGTTTGTGAAAGGAAAAGTTGATCATTGGCGCGGAAAACTTTTTCTCGCCAAGTCACCGGATGGGATAAGACTAGAGGATACAAGGAGAGAAACTGATCAGTCAGCATCCTGCGGCTATCAGAGACTATTCGGGACTACTAGTGATTTACCTTCTTGTGTGACTATGAACGGTCAAGTAAACGGGACGCCGGGTAAGCATATAGATAGATTTTATATTCATATAGATTATACATATTCGGATACATTTTATCTTTAGCGCAAATGTGTGATTTTGTAAAAGTGTATACATCTTCTGTATTATTTTTGACGTTTTAAGAAGAAAACGCTAAGTTTTTATTATTAGTTTTTATTGTACTGTATAATTTGGCTTTTACTTCACTTTAAGAGGCGTAAGAAATTATAACAATTTTTTTTCTTTTTTATGTTAAGTTTTATTTTTACTCTGTAAAAATTAAATTCGAAATTGATAATTTGAAGAATCAAATAACTATTTTATAGTAATATGCACACATTCAAACAATCATTAAAACTAATTAATGAGTTCTAATTACGTGAATTTCAATTCGAATATTTTTTAAATTTTTATTCTGTTTTGAATTCGGAGTGTTTTATCTACACTTTAAATATTAATATTTTATTTATAAAAAATCTAAATTAATGTATATTATAACCATTATTAAGAATAAATACAAAAATGTTTAAAATAATTCAGCCAGTGCCTTCTATGTTATGAAAATAAGAATAATTTACAAAATGGAAGATGCGAAACTGAGAAAAATTCATTGAAACTTTTATTTTAATCTCTTTAATTTCTTCAAAACGCTTTCAAAGCATTTTAACATATTTTAAAGTTATGATATAGGTGTAAATTTACACTACAGTACTATTAACATAAAAGCAATAGTTTCCCCAAAAATCGTTGAATCGATATTTTAAAAGAATTTCCTAAAGAACCATGTGGGGTTTCAGCTTAATTAACTTTTATAAACTTTTAACTTAAAATTATATGAAACGTTCAGTTATATAATCTCTTAAAACTGGTTTCCTGTATACTGTTAGTACTATATTATCTTCTAAATAAGTGTGTATTGACATCTCTCAGCTTAATTGTAGTATCTCTTATATTCTACCTCAATATAAATATTTTTACACGTAAGGAGAACACAGCGATAAATAACTTTATACAGCTATTATTGTTTATAAAATGGAATATTATAACAAGAGTATATTTCGGCAAGTAGTAAAAGTCCGCAAATGTGTCTGAAGAATAATTCTTGAATTCTTATAGCGAAAACTATTAAGATTTTATATTAGTATATAATCTATGATGAGTCCAGGGAGTAAATATACATGTGGGATTTGAATTTTAAAGTTTAAATTAAATAGAAAATTTATATTTTTTAATGGAGACCTTTGCTGTCTTTCACTAATTCAATCCAGGAGCGAAAGGTAACCCAGAGAGATGGCAGAAAACTAAAGACATAACTTTATGCGTTTTTCTATATTTTCTCGACTTTATACGCATCTATTGTATATATAGATGTACATACAAATGCATAGAGGAAGAAAGAATCATAAAAGCTGATGAAGATTCTAGGAAAATCAGATCGTGTATTTCTTTTGAAATTTAGTCAGTCAGAATTTTATCATCTACGCTGACAAAGAATGCAAAATTCAACCTTCAAAATCTGCACCAATATTTTTTTCTTAATATTAAAATTAAGTGTACCTTAATTCAAAGTTTCTCCCACTTGTTTTACATTAAAGATCATTATTTTTAGGCCCCACCAGCGGCCGAGCGGTAACGTCGCTGAACACTGGTAGTGTGGTCCGAGGTTCGAATCCTGCGAACGGGCTGGCTGCATGGGCGTTTTCATGGTTTTCCCCATGTGTAACGTGTATACGAGCCAGTTTCCCTTAGAAAGTCCTCCACGATGGCATTCCTTCCCTTAGGCAGATAGCCCTCGAGGCTTTGCCATAAACACACACACACATTATTTTTAGGGTGAAACATGTTTTAAACTTTTTTTCCCAAGTTATGAAGTCATCTGTTTCCTGTGAAAAAATAAACTATGAGTAAATTACATTTACATGATGTAAATGTACTTCTCTACAAATGTCTTTTTAACATCATAATTCGTTCTTTTTGAGTTAAAAAGTATCTTATCTTATTAGTAAATTAGTAAAAATTGCAAAAACTTTAATTTATATAAGAAAACTTCTTCTTTGTCGGAATCAATGAAGTTTGATTTAATTAGATATGACAGAAATCCAATGCTTTTTGCCTCACAAGATTTATGCATATCCTTCCTTAAAGTAAAGATCTTCAATAGTTCTTTATTTATACATTTAGTATTTTTTGCATTGTATTTCAATTTTTACACCTGCACTTTGAATTCTTGTGAATTCAAGTGAGAACATGATCATTCAATTCAAGAAACATTGCAAAATAAATCTTTTGAATCATTTATATTATAAGCACCACGCCCAAACTCCGAATCTGCAGAATCGGTTGTTTCGAGAAAAACATGTTTAAAGTTTATTGCACTTTCTTGGTTCAGAGAGAAATCAAATTATGCTTTCTCCGTAATAATCATGCATTTACCTTATATAATGTGAAACTTTGTAATGCAGTCGGAAAAAAAAATGTTGCGGAAAAACTCCTTGATTTTTGTCATGATGATATATTTCTGAATATGTTACATGATAATAAAAAGTGGCGTTTAAAATAGCATTATTCAAGAGTTAAGACCGGAAAATATTTTATGCACGGTTTTTCTTTCTTTTTCAGACTCTAGATTTTTTGAGATTTTACGCAATTAAATTATTTATACGAACTCTTGTACGCAACCTTCGAGTTTTAATGTCTGCAAAAGTTTTGCAATTGTATCCAGACTGATTCCTTTATGAACAGAAGAACGCTTAAACTTCTACTGGAGAATTATTCTTGCTACGCAACGCACTTTGTAAATTCTCTCGTAAGCTTTGATTAAAAAATTGTTTACATAATGGGTTTGTGAGGATTTGCAAAATGAATGCTTCATTACGAATTAATAGTTTTAAGTAGTTATATATTAGCAAGTAATTCGCAAATTACAATACAAAATTATTATATTAGCATATAATATGCTTTTCTGTACAATTTAGCATTGCCAAAATTTAACACCCCATCGCTAGTAGAGCTCATTATTGACTGATGTCTATTATGAATATGGGTTTCTTTGCCTTAAAAATCCTCCTTGAACGCATCTCGTCCCTTAGGCAGATTGAGCTATTATTTTGCCGTAATTAAATAACCCAGAGACAAATCTGTTTTAAGAAGCTTCATCATCTCATATGGGAAATGCGGGTAATAATGAGCAGCTTTCACTGCCTTTTAAAGGCAAGGAAATGAGCATATTTATACCGATATTTCGTGGTTTTGGCTTATCAGTGGTGAATAAGACTCCTGAACATTCTTAGTTCAACCCAAGCTCAAATCCTGGCAAACGGATTGGCTGGCAGCATAGGCGTTTTCGTACTTTTTCTTACGTATAACGGGAGTACAGAGTCATTTTTCTTAAGCTCCTCCGCAAGGGTGTGGCTCTTTTTCAGGCAAATGGTCCTTACTGGCTTTGCCATAATTTCGTAAAAAGTATTATTAGCAAAGTATACTCTTAGCTACCTAAATTGTTTCGCCAAAATATCACTATATTGTCTAAATATTTCTTCTGATGAGTTTTAAAATATAGAATTCTAAACAAATGCATTAAAAATTCTATTTCTTTGTTTAAATATACATTTTACTGCAGATGTTTTGCTTACTTCCAATGTGAAGTAACTTACATAAGAAAAAATGCTATTATGTAGTTTTTCAAATGGCTGGATACTTGCGACTAAATGCCTTCATCTGGAATGACCTATACATATTGGTCATTTAGCTGTCTCATCATCGAGATCGATGCCTAAGTTGCACTTTAAGCACGCACTCCAGAACGCGAAAGCTATGTTTCAATTTCGTTGGAGAACCTTCCGGAGGAAAACATCCGATGGTTTCCTAATCCTTTTCTCCCTCTTATGAAGCGTCTCAAAAGGATTAAATCGCCAGCTCGCCAGAGCTCCCCTTGCTTCCCATCTACTATGTACTTAAAAACATCCAAGTCATCTGCGGGCTTTAAAACTGGACCCAATAGTGCGGCAACAAGCAATGCTAACTATTACACCAGGGTAGCATCTAGTACAATGTACCGAATAGAACTGCTAGGCCATTATTATAGAATTTTGTCAAGCAATTATTTTTATTGAAAACTAATTATTGTGTTCTATATTGTACCTTGGCGACTTACATCGTATAATTATTTCTGTAGCGCTCACCTGTGGCCAAACGGATAAGATCATTAAACACTCTGTTAGGTTCCAACCTGATCTGGGTTCAAATCTTGACAAACTGGTTGGCTGCATGGGTATCTTCGTAGTATCTCCTTATATGAAAGGGAAATACGGTTTCTCTTCGAAAATATTCCAAGAAGACGATCTTCTTCTTAAAATGAGTTTTGGGGTATTCAAATAAATACAACACTGTAATTGAGTATTAATAAACTAAATTTAAAGTTTATTAAAAAGAAAACTACAGTTGATTTCCTAAACAAACAAGATAAAGAAACAGCTAAAATATAAGCTCAGTATTTAGCTGGAAGGTGGGTACAAATTAGAGTGTAATAAAGTTTACAGAAAATTTAAAACAGAAAATATCTTAATTTTCCAAACAAATTAACGAATAGGAAACATTAGAAACTCCTTTCAGTTTTAGTGAGCTTTATGATTTTCGCAAGATCTTTGATATTCTCTTTAAACAGTTTTATTTCTAGCTTAATTACCGTAAACACAGTTTAACGAAATAATTAACTCTCCGTGATTGATCTCAAGTATTTTAACTTGTAGTACTTGTAGTCAAGTATTTTAACTTGGTACGATGGTCCAATTTACTAAAATGGGGCCCGAGGCAAGACCTTACGGAAGCCACTCCTCTTCTAATACTTTTCAATGTAGTAGATAAAATTAAGGCGAATTATGCAAGCATTTCATGAAATAACCTGATTTTTTTTTCATTTAAAGTTTTTATATAGAAATCTCATTTCACCTTCCTGCATGCAACGTTTCCATGGTTTCATTTTATTATGAATTGTATAAAATATAAGCCCATATATTTTAA